CAGGCTTCTGTAACAAAATATTGTAGACTGGGTATATAATAAACAACATAAATTTATTTCTGACAGTTACGGAGACTGGAAAGTCTAAGATCAAGGTGCTGGCAAATTCAATGTCTGGTGGGGTCACTTCCTGGTTCACAGATGTCTGCTCACTATTACCTCACATGGTGGCAGGGATGAGGGATCTCCCTGGGGTCTCTTTTATAGGGGCACTAATCCTATTCATGAGGGCTCACCCTCCTGATCTAATCATCTTCCAAAGGCCCCACCTCCAAATACCATTATATTGGGGGTTAGGATTTCAACAAATGAATTTTTTGGGAGGGTTGGGGGAGAAAAACATTCAGTCTGTAGTAGATAGGAAAAGAATGAGGGGGCGGGCATTCTCACTGAGGGACCCAGAGTAACCAGACAGGTGGAATTTTCATAGCATATTCTTAGGATAATAAGGGGAGCAAGCTGGACATGTCTATTAGGAATATTTGGGAGAAATGAGAAATAAATTTGACATTTTTATGGGGGTCAATTTATGGAGCATCCAATTAGTTAAGAAGCAATCATTTCACCCACGCTCCTGGCCTTGGCTTTCTTTTGTTCTTACATCGACATTATTCTTCATGATGCTAACGATGCCCTCTGTCAAAGGGCATCTTTCCAGCTTACAATGATTCTCACTCCTTAACTATCCAACCCTTTCCATTCATAGGGGTGGGTTAATTCCTAGGAGCAATGTTTGTGCAATGTGGTTTGATTCTAATGTCCGTTGATTGAACTGCATGAACTGCAGATGGTTCACTCTTGCTAGAACAGAGATGCCATTCTAGCAATATGCACTTGAGACTAAAAGGAATTGACTCTATCTCTTTCTTCATGGAGCTGGAAGTGACTCTATCTCTTTCTTCATGGAGCTGTGAGCAGCCACCATGTCTGCCACATGGAGCAGGCAGCTGAGAAATCTATTCTTCCCGGGAAAAGAAAGAGGCAGACACACAGAGAGAGGCAGGGGCGTATAACAGAGCTCTCCTGGTCCTGATGGTCTTCCAACTCTTATTTCTACTGCTTACCCAGCTACATTTCTGCTCTTGGAATCTGAGACACACTGTATCTTTTATAATCAATCCCTTCTTCCTGCTTAAGCAAACTTGGGCTAGGCTTCTATTATTAGACACCCAACGAGCCCTAATAGAGTGGTGAATAAATAGATTTACTGAAACCTGCTGTCCTTTACTTTTGGACATGCTCTCTCAACTTGTGCTCTAAGGACAAGCTTCCTTTTATTCATCTTTGCTCGACATCAGTGTGACTATATTGCTGTCTCATACATCTGAGTGTCACGGTCTTCGTGCCCCTCTCTGTCCCTGTCCCCAGATCCCTTCCCAGCTTTGATTTCTCTCTACTTTCTGTCCTTGAATGAAATGCTAACAAAGAAACAGAGAAAGCCTGGGAGTATAATTTATATATGCCCGAGGCTTATGAACAGATAATGGGTTCATTAGCTCAATTCTCCCGGGATTTGTGATGCAGAGGGATAGGACTCAAGAAGGTTTAAAAATGAATACGCTCTTCAGATCCTCTTACGGTACAGCTTCTCTCTGCAGCCCGAGTTATTCTGGAGGCCACAGGAGGGATAAGGCCGCCCCTGCTGATGGGACTCTCGAAGCTCCAGTGGCAGCTATGCTCCCTGCCCCCCGTTTGTCATGGTCTCAGTCACAGTGGGCTCTGCCGGATATACGTAACACACTGCTGCCCTATAGAGCTTGAAGAGGTCACTACTCCGACTGCAGAAGCACATACATGGGATCTTCAGAGAGAAGCCCTTTCTTGCTGACAGGATTACGCAGGGAAAGTAGGTGGAGAAGCGGGAGTGCTCAGAAGCCTTTGAAGGGACTCCTAAAGGCAAATAACCAAGCCCTAAACCAGCCAGCTGACAATTCTGTCAACACAGTCGCAGTGTAGCCAACAGCTTGAACTAAAAATAATCTGACCCTTCGCCACAGCATGCCTGCCTGGCTCTGATGTGCTGGACAAAGGCTGAATGACAAGCTGCTGCTGTATTTCCAACAGCGTGAGATCTAACGATGTAGCAAGGGTCCAAAGATTTGGATGTGAAGATTGCCTGGGAAGATCACCACCCAGCACTCGGTTTGTTAGAAGAACGCTTCCTCTCTCTCATAGCGGCGATGTCTTCGGTGCCTTCGGAAGTAGTGTATGAAGGGAGTCAGGGTGTGGTGCCGCCTTCTTTCTGATGGTATCTGGTGCCTGTGCTCCTTGGATCTCTTATTTATGTCAGTGATAGGTCTTATTCACATTTTTTTGTAACCCCCTCCTAGACTAGGAGATCCTTGAGGGCAAGACCCATGTCTTCATCTTTCTCCATCTCTGTATCTCTAGGCCCTAACAAGGTCTGGCCATTTAAAAAGCTGTCAATAAAGTATTTATTAGATAAAAGAATAAATGAACAACTGAAAATTGGTAAAAATCCAACCTTATGATGAGGGCCTTTGAGAAGGATGTAATGATTGGTCGGAGTCTTCACGGAGTTACCAGAGTTTAAAGCAGAAGGTTAGAAAGGAGGAGAGTGAATGTTCCAGGCATTTGAAATTTTCATCAAGGGCGTCAGAAGTGGCTCAGTATGGCAAGTGGGCAAAAAGAAGGGGATGAAGCTAAAAAGAGTGGCAGAGGCCAGAAGGACCTTGCATACTCTGCTAAGGAGTTTGAATTTTATTTTACAGGTGATGGGAAGCATGAAAAGATTTTCTGTGGGAGAGGGACATAATGAGATTTTCTTAGAGAAAATTTTCTTTGGTAGCACTATGGAGGGTAATTGATGGCAGGGATGGAGACAGGGTTGAGATGGATTTCAGGATCAACCAGGAGCCCCCTGCAGTCAGTAATTCAGGTGAGGGAGGGTGGAGGTCTGACTTATGGCTGAAAAGCCCTATTTCCGTCCTCTTCCTCCCACTGCCAGCTTCTCATCACCTCCAACACCATCACATCCTCCTTCAGGAGACAGATCTGAGGATGCTGAGGAGTAACAGAAAATGCCAACCACAATAGTGCTTCACAAATACTTTTATCTTAGTTGGGCCACTCTGAAAGGCAAAGTGACATTTTCCAGAAGGTCCATGGGCAGAAGCTTCCTCTCTCCCCACCCCTTCCAAAGAAGCACTAAATGACTCTTCCACAGTCCTTGAGCCACCTCACTTCTTGCAGCAGATTCTGTGCCCACCTTCCACTTTGTACTTTTTCAGCAAGGGAGTGAAAAAGAAGAGGCAAAGGGAAATGAGGAAAAGAGGAAGGTGTCGTAAGGGAGCAAGGCAGATGATGAGGACCCCTTATTTATCTCATTCATGAATAATAAGAAGAGTTAAAGCTGTTGAAAGAAGAGAAGCTGTTTACATGGCCGCATTATCAGAACTCAAAAAAGATTAGGACAGATAGATGCCCATGGATATTTGCTCAGCTTATTTATGAAGGAAGATCATCTTTCCTTTCACTCTCTAGCCCGCATCTGATGGGAGTTAGAAGGAGCAAACCCAGGTGTCTGGCTGGCTCAGTTAGTAGAGCATGTGACTCTTGATCTATAAGGGTCATGAGTTCAAGCCCCACATCAGGTGTGGAGCCTACTTAAATTAAAAAAAAAAAAGGAGGAGGAGGAGGAGGAGCAAACCTTAGACTTTATTTATTTGAGAGAGAGAGCAAGCATGAGCAGGGGGTGGTGGCAGGGAGGGAAGGAGCAGAGGGAAAGAGAGAGAGGGAGAAGCAGACTAACTGATGAGCAGGGAGCCCAACGAGGGGTTTGATTCCAGGGTCCTGGGATTATGACCTGAGCCAAAGGCAGATAGTTAACCCACTGAGCCACCCCAGGTGTCCCTCCCCTGGGTTCTTTACCTTGGCTACACAATGAAACTAACTGATAATTAAAGAAAAATGCAAAAAACCCACAAACCTGATGCCTGAATCATACCCCAAGAGATTCTAATTTAATTAGTCTAGAGTGTGGTCTTGGAATTGGTCTTTCCAGAGTTCCCTGGGTAATCTGAATGTACAGGTGGGCTGAAAACCACTATTCTAGACTGGGGGTCAGCAAAGTTTTCTGTAAAAGGCCAGAGAGTAAATATTTTATGTTTTGTGGGCCACATGGTCTCTCTTGCAACTACTCTGCTTTGCTGTTGTAGTGAGAAAGTAGCCATAGACAATATGTACATGAATGGCTATGTTCTAATAAAACCCTGATCTGGCTCATGAGCCTTAATTTATTGACCTTTGCTCTAGAAGCATACTCCAAAAGTTGGGTGGGTCGTTTAGGTTGCTAACTCTGGTATGGAGAAAATAGGAAAAATATCCTAGTTTTAAAAAGAATTTGGCATTTGGATGAATGTTCTAGCTTTATTTTAATAAAATGAGATATGTTTCTGAGTTCCATTTGATAAAATACTTTCATTAACCCACTATGCTGTTTGACTTCTTAGGGAGATCATATGTGATTTTTGTGTTTTGAAGGAAAAAAAATCCAATAAGTTATTAAAAAGAGATAATTACAACCTGCAGTGGTGAAGAGAAAGATTAATCATGACAGACAGACACTTCAACTTAGAACCTAAACCAAGACAGAAAAGCTAAAACCCAAATGAAAAGACAGTCTCTACAGAGTCAGAGAGGTCAACTGGTGACCTGGTAAGTTTTGTGTGTTCTCCAATTTCCTTGGCTAGAATTCAACCATGAGCTTGTTTTTCATTTGTCTGTTTTTCTGTTATTGTTTTGTTTTGAATTCTACGTGAAGAATCAGTTTTAATTTATGCTGTCATTTTATTCTGGAGAAATCTGGAGAAGGCAAAGACACATTAGAAAAATGAACTTTTTGCCCAATTACTAAGTTTCTCTCCTGCCCTCGCTGCTTTCATCACTCTCTATAGAAGGGGGGTCAAGTGACAGATGGCTGCAAATCATGCTCCTTATAATCAAGGCTGGAGGATCTGTGTGGGTTATGTGGTCCTCACCTTTATCCTATCGATGTTGGCTTCCATCTTCAGCTGTTCTACCAGCTTCCTGGCTTGTGCTATGCTGGCGGTGTTGTTGCTGGCCATTGGAATGGGTGGGTTTTTCAGATACACTAGAAAAGAACACAGGAAGAAAGAATGCATCAGAGAATTCAGGAGCTGCCAAATGTGCAGGTTCATCATCATGGGGGAACTTCGAAAGAGTGGCTGTGGTCAGGCCTGGCTCTCTCAGCCCTCTACATCCCCAATCCAGCACCAAGTCTGATTGCAGGCAGACCAGGAGATGAGGTGCTTTTTCAAACAGCACTCCCCCACCCCACCCCACCCCAACACACACACACACGCACACACTCCTCTGCACTTCCATCCCTTCTTCTGGGAAAAACAATGAAGACTGTTTACCAAATCAGTTAGAATAAGATATGCTGCTGAATTAAGAAAGCAAGTCACTAAAATTATCTTAATGTATGAAATGAGCTCAAAATGGTAAAGTTGACAGTATGTATTTTAACTGTTGTCATTTTCCAGGTACTACTATTGTCAGATACTCTGTTTAAGTGCCCTCAGATGATGAAGAATGAAAGGCAAGCAGAGAGGAATGCTAAATTAAATAATCCTTTAGGACTAAAGACACCAAGTTTACGGTGTTCTCCTGATGGGATCCAACACCAGCTTTTTAGTTAACTGTAACCACCTCAGTCTATTATACTGCAGAGACACTGCATAGGATGTGTGGCTTTTCAGCCACAGTGTTGTTTATCCAGCATTTTAAAGAATAGCCTTTTCTCTCTGTTCTATTTGAAATATGGCTAGACACAACTATTTACTTAACTCACAATTCTTCATCTGTAATGTCAAGGGGGAAGGATTGCCATGTCTAAATTATTAATTACATCAGTGAGTTCACCAGCAGAATTCTGTGTTCAGTATAACGGACTTATTACTTTTATAAATATGGAAATGGAACACAAATGTTTAGAGAGTGGAATTCTGTACTTATGTAAATTATGAGACGGTTTCTTTGCCTCTGGCTTTGCCAGATCTCCTCCCCATCATTTCCCCTACCCCCTTCAAGTCCTATCCCAATTTCATTTCTCTTCTAATTCTTTCTTGACCCACTATCTCAATTTATTTTTGTTGTTCATTTCAGAAAGTACCCTATTTTATTTTTGGTGCCCATTTCCTCCACATTCTGATTGGGTCTCGCTCCATGTCAAGGTGCCATATGCTATTTCAGGACTGTCTGTGTAAATGTGCCCTTTGAGGTCACTGACACCCTACAGTGAAGCAATGTCTGAGAGCAGCAATTTAGCTAGAGTGCGTGACCCAAGAAATGAGAGGCATTAAAGCCTGGCTTCAGTCAACAGTCGAATCTTGTTCTGAAGACATATTAAAAACCATGACTTCTGCTAGCTTTGGGGAATATTTTATCCAGGGATAAAGTAAAATCAGGCTACCATCTCAAAAAGGACAGAAGACACATAGAAAACCTGAGGAAGGAAATATAACCCATAGTAAGTTCAATACAAGACTGTTACTTATTCAGTAAAATCAAAAAACAATTTTTAATTACCAAAAGAGCATAAATATGTAAATTGTCTCCTTTGGTTCTTATATCTTGGTATCTTGTTCTTCAAGGCAAAAAAAGAAATTATGTGTAACTCTCTGTAAACAAAGAGGTCCCTTCATAGTGAGTGTTATTTTATAAAGAATACTGCAAAATCAGCCACCCCAATAGCATAGCATTTACAGTATAATTGGAAGATAATTAACTGTTCCCTCAACTTATTTTCAAAGGCGTCAGAGACAAGAAAATGGAAAGGGAGACTGAAGGGATTTTGAAGCCAGAAAGATCTCTGGACTCTACTTTCATATGCTTGAAGATCAGCGGAGGGATCTTTATGTAAAAACAAAAAAACAAGGGGCGCCTGGGTGGCTCAGTCGTTAAGCGTCTGCCTTCGGCTCAGGTCATGATCTCGGGGTCCTGGGATCGAGCCCCACATCGGGCTCCCTGCTCCGCGGGAAGCCTGCTTCTCCTACTCCTACTCCCACTCGCCCTGCTTGTGTTCCTGCTCTTGCTATCTCTCTCTCTGTCAAATAAATAAATAAAATCTTTAAAAAAAAAAAAAAAAAGAGGGGCGCCTGGGTGGCTCAGTCGGTTAAGCGACTGCCTTCAGCTCAGGTCATGATCCCAGGGTCCTGGGATCGAGCCCCGCATCGGGCTCCCCGCTCCGCGGGAAGCCTGCTTCTCCCTCTCCCACTCCCCCTGCTTGTGTTCCCTCTCTCGCTGTGTCTCTCTCTGTCAAATAAATAAATAAAATCTTTAAAAATAAATAAATAAATAAATAAATAATAAAAAAAAAAACAAGAAGAGGCTTTAACAACTATGATTTCATCAGCATAATTAGGGACCCAATCATCTCAGCCCCACAGGAAAATTACATGTCCCCAAATTGAACAAAAATCTAACACCCCTGCAAAACGTCACAGGACCAAGATGGAATCTTGACTTCCCCAGAAGGGTAGCCTAACTCTTTCTTTTTCTTTTTCTTTTTTTTAAGATTTTATTTATTTATTTGACAGAGAGAGACACAGCAAGAGAGGGAACACAAGCAGGGGGGAGCAGGAGAGGGAGAAGCAGGCTTCCCGCGAAGCAGGGAGCCCGATGCGGGCTTGATCCCAGGACCCTGGAATCATGACCTGAGCCGAAGGCAGATGCTTAACAACTGAGCCACCCAGATGCCCCGCCTCTTTCATTCATCCAAAGTTGGAAGTAGTCGTGATCTATAAGACCCTGGACACTGTTCTGTGACGCTAACATTTCTTCCAAACTGGAATTTATCAGACTAGAATACAGATTATCACAGAATTACCAAATCCTCATTAGGCCTGACGGAGCTTTGGGAATCTGGCCACCTATTCATCTGCCCTTGAATATGCAAACCAGATCACACAGTAACCTGTGTCAGAAACCATAGCTTGCCTCCAAATACCGCGTCTCCTCTTTTTCATTAGTAATAACAATTTTTTTTTCTTTTTAACGGAGACCACAAGAACCTGAAGTTTAGCTGGTCATACTTTACTGAAATATACATTCTTCAGCCTCCCTTGCAGGTCGGTATAGTTATATGACCAAGTTTTGGCCAATGAGATATAAGCGGAAGTGCCCTTGAAAGGCGGGAGGTATGCTCTTTGCCTCCCTTTCCTCCAGATACTGGCCTGGAAGATCGTCTTGTTGACCATAGTGCTCCACCTTGACCTTTTAGGTTTACACTCTAGGGTGAGCAGGAAGGATCTGGGTGCGTACTGACACTGTAGAGCCACCATGCCAGTAGTGAACTGGCTATCATCTATGTGAAGAGAAGTAAGTACCTACTTTGTTTACATCACTATTGTTAAGAGTATTTCTGCCATTGGATAATAGATCTGCCATTAACTGAGTAAATGACCCATTATTTTCATTTGAGTATCTAGGAAAGTCTATGTTCTAACGCCTGTTCATGTTCCCTAGGAAAGCTATGGCTGTCCCAAGGAGATTAAGATAGAAAGTGTATGAGTTTTCTACTGCTATGATATATTACTACAAATGTAGGAGCTTAAATAATAGGAATTTATTATCTTATAGTTCTGGAGGTCAGAAGTCTGAAATAGGTCTCACTGGGCTAAAATCAAGGTGTCAGCAGGACTGTATTCCTTCTGGAGTCTGTAAGGGAAAATCTGTTTCCTTGCCTCTCCCTAGCTTCTAGGAGCTACTGGCATTCCTTGGCTCTTGGCCCTACTCCTCATTTTCAAAGCCAGCAAAGGTGAGTTGAGTTATTCTTACATCATATCACTCTGACCTCTTCTGTAGTTTCATCCCCCTGACTGCTCTGCTCCCTTCTTCCACTTTTAAGAACCTTGCAACTCTACCGGGCCCCCTCAGATAACCCAGGACAATCTCCCTATCTTTAGGTCAGCTGACTAGCAACCTTAATTCCATCTGCAACCTTAATTGCCCTTTGCCACGTAACATAACATAGTCACACGTTCCAGGAATGGAGACATGGACATCTTTGGGGTACTTCATTCTACCTACCATGGAAGAAGACCTCTGCACAGGCAGAGAAGAGAAGTGGGGAGATGGGGGCTGAGATAGTAAAAGAAGAGGGGAGGGGCAGGATGCAAGTCTAGAAATGTTGGGGAGAGAAAACATTTGAAGCCTAAATGGACTTAGTAGAAAAAGTAAACACAGGCTTTGGTTTTAGTTTTAGGAAGATACATCCTCAATGTTCTAGTTTTACTATATGACACAAAAGAATCTAATGTCACCTACTAGGGATTTACCCCAAAGATACAAAAAATGTGGTGATCCGAAGGGTCACGTGCACCCCAATGTTTATAGCAGCAATGTCCACATTAGCCAACTATGGAAAGAGCCCAGATTTCCACTGACAGATGAATGGATAAAGAAGATGTGGTGTATATATATACAATGGAAGACTACTCAGCCATCAAAAAAATGAAATATTGCCATTTGCAATGACGTGGATGGAACTAGAGGGTATTATGCTAAGCGAAATAAGTTAATTAGAGAAAGACAATTATTATATTATCTCACTCATATGTGGAATTTAAGAAATAAAACAGAGCATAGGGGGAGAGGAAAAATAGGGGAAGAGAGGAAAAAATAAAACAAGATGAAACCAGAGAGGGAGACAAGCCATAAGAGACTCTTAATCAGAGTAAACAAACTGATGGTTGCTGGAAGGGAGGGGGGTGGGGGGATAGGGTAACTGGGTGGTGGACATTAAGAAGGGCACATGATGTAATGAGCACTGGGTATTATATAAGACTGATGAATCACTGACCTCTACCTCTGAAACTAGTAATACATTATATGTTAATTGAATTTAAATTTTAAAAAAGTCCAGTGTCACATTTATTTATTAAAAGATTTATTTATTTGAGAAAGAGAGAAAGAAAGAGGGTGAGAGAGAGAGCGAGCAGGCAAGCATGAGCAGGAGGGGCAGAAGGAGAGGAGAATCTCAAGCAGACTCCATGCTGAGTACAGAGCCTGACTCGGGGCTCAGTCCCAGGACCCTGAGATCATGACCTGAGCTGAAACCAAGAGTGG